TAAAGGCGATTTTCTCAGTATTTAGATTTTTTTGCACCCTCAGATTCCAGATTTTCAAATAGGTGTATCTCGGCCAAATATTGTCCTATCCTAACAAACCTTACATCAATGGAAAGCTTATCTATTCAGCTTTCAGATGATGCATAAATCTCAATTTCAAAAAATTTACACTTATGACAGGGTTTGTGCTCCATGGTCACATATGGAGAACAGTGCGTTACTCTCTCTGGCCGCTAGACGCCGCTGTTTCTCCTCAGCGCCGGTAAAGCGCTTAATCCGCGGGGGGCGTCCGGTTTTCCCGCAGCTTCTCTAAGTTCACCCGCTGGTGACACAAGGACTCTCGCGCTCAGCTCGGAATAACGGACAGAGCTTCTGATCGGTTCTTCCCCGTCTGTCAGATCATTTCCGCGGCGCAGGCAGCGAAGCACGGACGCGGATCCGCCGAAAGACGGTGTTGTTGTCGTTACCGGGGAAAGGACGCGCTTGGAAACGGCGGCGGTCCGTGAATGGATGCATCATGTCTTCGTTTGTGTGCCGCGTTCAGTTTCTCGACGACACCGATCCGTTCAACAGCACCAGTTTCCCGGAACCGACCCGAGCTCCTCTCTACTCCTTCAGAGAAGACATCCCTCTGATCGAGCAGATCGCGGGGGTCCACAGGCTCCTCAAGGCTCCTCACAAGGTCAGATCACACAAACTACACACAAAGTTATCCTTGTCTTTTATATTTCACTAAATTATCATTTAAAGGATGCATGTTGATTTAATGTTTATTTAAAACTATTTTCCGGTCGATATTTTCGGAAAAAAATACTATCTAAAATAATTAACTTATACTTTTAAGTATTTGGAGTATTATTTAATTTGGTGTTTTTTGTATAGCATGTATTAAAAACTAAACTGTCAGTTAAATGAGTTTGTGTCGGTGTTTTTAAAGCGCGACAGGTGCAACTCTGAGCCGCTCATTCATTCACACTGACATATACATATGTGTGACTCTGGAGTACAAAACCAGCCAGAAGGGGCATTTTTTTGAAAAACAGCTGAGTAGAATTTTTCAGGTTTCTTTGATTAATAGAAAGTTCAGAAGAACAGCATTTATCTTAAATAGATTTTTTTTTTAACATTATAAATGCCTTTATTGTCACTTTTGATTAATTTAAAGCATCCTTGCTAAATAAAAGTATTAATTTCTATCATTTCCCAAAAAAAAATTAAAAAAAATAAAAATACTGACTCCGAGCTTTTGAATGGTATATGTATAATGTTACAAAAGCTTTTTATTTCATATGAATGCTGATCTTTGGATCTTTCTATTGGATCTTTCTTACTGTTCAAAACATTTAGACTGGTAGTGTATGTATGTAGCCTATGTATCACACTCATATCACATCTTGTTTTGGATAAGAATAAAACGTCAGGACCGACAATATCGTGTCTTTTTTTATTTAAATCTAGCTTTATTCGCATTGGCCCATGGAAACCTCTATGAACACACTTGAATTGACTTGGCAAAAAAATCGCGGGGGACGAATTTACGTTTTATTAAAAAGTGTTTACGCATTCTACACTCATGGCGCGCACACACGTTAGGATAGGTTAGATGTCTGCCTCCGTTGCGAGTCCCTATCAAGCACTTTACCAATTCAACTACTCTCTTCTTCTCCTCCTGCCTGGCTCTTTGGCCCGGAGCAAAATACTTCATCGCTCCGTCTATAGCGCATTGTGATTGGATGTTTACGCTGTCAATACAGGAGACAAACCAATGGGCCACTGGCTGCTCGCTGTCCGTGCGTGATGGTTTTCGGCAAAAAAAACATTCTGTAGGCCCCTTAAGTGCGTCGGCCCACCGGGAAAATGCCCGGTATGCCCGATTACCAATCCAGCCCTGTCTGGAGATATTACTGCAGTTATTCTGATGCTTATTTGATTAAAATCAGTCCAGATCTGACAGCAGAAAGACACGTGAAGAGTTTCTACAATTACACTAAAAGAGCTTTCACTGGATAAAAAACTCTAAACTATCAATCAGAGATTGATAAGGCATGGAGGAGATGGTGAGTTTTGATCATGTTCATCATTTAGAAGTCGTAGAAATTCACATATCCAAAAATTATAGGGTTAACCATTTTAGTATGTTTATATTCATACATTTTAAGAGTGTGAATGAACAAACTGGTCTTAAAGGACATTCACTGTTACACACACGTCGCATAAACAGGGATTACAGCGCACACGCTTCATCTCACTTTACACACCACACACTTGTGTATTACTCTTGTGCTTAAAGGAACAGTTCAGCCAAAAATTAAAATGTGCTGAAATGTGTTCACCCTCAGGGCATACGCATTCACTGCAGAGCATCCATTGCTGAGACGCTGATGCAGTGCTACATTTCTACAAACCTGATGAAGAAACAAACTCATCTTTGCTTCAGTAATGGAGACTTTGCTGGTTGTACATGATTAAAACACAGTCTTTATACACTCAGAATAAGAAAGAACAGGCTGCAACATAAGAAAAGATCATTTAATGCTGCCAAAAGTATAAATCCATCATTATACAAATGTAAACAACGGACAATACAACCAAACTAGGTCAAGTGCATAATGCTATTGTTTGTAAATGTTATTGTACAAGCATAATCACATATATTATGTTATCATACTGTTAAAGTCACACATTTTAATGCTAAATTGGAAAATGCTATATGTTGGAAACAATTATTTCAGTCATACTGAGTGTTAGTGTGTTTTAGTATCTGATCATGTTCTGTGATTTAAGCTTCGCTGCTTTGATAGAGATGTTTTGTTGAACTGACATCTCTATTTCCGTTTGCTTTCTGTCCATTCTGCGCTTTCTCTCTGGTTTCTCTCTGTTTGCATGTGGCGTTGTGTTTTTCTGTGTCAGTCTGTCATTTGAGTGAAAGTCATGGCCAGTAATTGGCTGTTTCGGTCGAATCTGTAAAATTAAACAGAGGTCAGTGCTGCTCCCAGAATGCCGCTGTGTGACAGAGTTTCTTCTCGCTCTGATGTTGTATTTTCCTCATAATGCTGAGCTGTCAGGTTTTTCTTTGAGGCCGAAATGGATCAAAACACTCAAATTCTTAATTTTCCTACTTATTATCGTCTATTCAACACCGTATCAACACTCAGTCAGTATAAATATTAATATGAGTATATTAATGCTTATTGTATATGGCAGACACTTTCATCCAAAGTGACTTACATTGCACTATTTGCACGCATATTATCATGCACTTTCTGGGAATCGAACCCGTGACCCTCATGTTGCAAGCGCCATAATTTACTGTTTGAGCTGCACATTACAAAATAATTGGGCTTAAATTTAAGGTTTGTGTGTTTGAATTGCATATAAAAAGGTTATCTATTTTGATTAGTATTAACATTAATAAACTTATTGTGATTTGTCAGACTCACATAAATGATACACGTCAGATTTCTGATAACACTAATAAACTGAATGGGTTAAAAAACACAATAACCAGCTTTATATATTGATGGATTCAGTTTGATTCAGTTTCAGTCTTATGCATTTTAGCTAACTGAATATTGCTTGTTCGACAGCTAGAAATATTTTAACCATATTAATACCTTTAACTGAGTAAATGGGATTGTTTTCACAATAAAGACATTTATTCAGATCTATTTGAATAAATGCATTTTGAAAATATGATTAGCCTAAATACAATCAAATGGATGCAAATAGTTAATAATAAACTATGCATACAAATATGCATAACATTAAGCTTATTAATGTTAAAAATGTGTAGTCCAGATAGATGGAAATTTATATGCAATTAAAATGAATAAATCTTACATTTAGGCCAAAATATGTTTATTTTGAATATATAAATAATAATTATTTTATGAATAAATACATGAGGTTAATAGTAATAAAAATAGATTGTGGATGAGTGTTGTTTTTGTATCATTGAGATAATACTTTAGTTTTATTATTTTGAATGAGTTTTTATTTTTATATTTTTGGTTTTAACTTTAATATTAAAGTTTTAGCCATTTTCTAAACGCGTTGTTTTAATTACTATTAGTTTTTGCTTTTTTAAATGTCTGTAATTTTTATGAATTCTTATTTCAAGTTTAGTTATTTTAGTTCTTTAGTTTGCGCATGTGGCTTGGCAAAAGTTGGAGTTAGGTTACAGTTAAGTTGTGGTTAGGTTTGGGTTAAGTTAGAGTTAAGTTGTGGCTATGTTAACATTAAGTTGGAGTTAAGTTGGGGTTAAGTTGCAGTTATGTTAGAGTTAAGTTGGGGTTAAGTTAACATTAAGTTGTGGTTAGTTTTGAGAGGTCAGTGCTGCTCCCAGAATGCCGCTGTGTGACAGAGTTTCTTCTCGCTCTGATGTTGTATTTTCCTCATAATGCTGAGCTGTCAGGTTTTTCTTTGAGGCCGAAATGGATCAAAACACTCAAATTCTTAATTTTCCTACTTATTATCGTCTATTCAACACCGTATCAACACTCAGTCAGTATAAATATTAATATGAGTATATTAATGCTTATTGTATATGGCAGACACTTTCATCCAAAGTGACTTACATTGCACTATTTGCACGCATATTATCATGCACTTTCTGGGAATCGAACCCGTGACCCTCATGTTGCAAGCGCCATAATTTACTGTTTGAGCTGCACATTACAAAATAATTGGGCTTAAATTTAAGGTTTGTGTGTTTGAATTGCATATAAAAAGGTTATCTATTTTGATTAGTATTAACATTAATAAACTTATTGTGATTTGTCAGACTCACATAAATGATACACGTCAGATTTCTGATAACACTAATAAACTGAATGGGTTAAAAAACACAATAACCAGCTTTATATATTGATGGATTCAGTTTGATTCAGTTTCAGTCTTATGCATTTTAGCTAACTGAATATTGCTTGTTCGACAGCTAGAAATATTTTAACCATATTAATACCTTTAACTGAGTAAATGGGATTGTTTTCACAATAAAGACATTTATTCAGATCTATTTGAATAAATGCATTTTGAAAATATGATTAGCCTAAATACAATCAAATGGATGCAAATAGTTAATAATAAACTATGCATACAAATATGCATAACATTAAGCTTATTAATGTTAAAAATGTGTAGTCCAGATAGATGGAAATTTATATGCAATTAAAATGAATAAATCTTACATTTAGGCCAAAATATGTTTATTTTGAATATATAAATAATAATTATTTTATGAATAAATACATGAGGTTAATAGTAATAAAAATAGATTGTGGATGAGTGTTGTTTTTGTATCATTGAGATAATACTTTAGTTTTATTATTTTGTTATTTTTATAATTTTTATATTTTTGGTTTTAACTTTAATATTAAAGTTTTAGCCATTTTCTAAACGCGTTACTATTAGTTCTATTAGTTTTTGCTTTTTTAAATGTCTGTAATTTTTATGAATTCTTATTTCAAGTTTAGTTATTTTAGTTCTTTAGTTTGCGCATGTGGCTTGGCAAAAGTTGGAGTTAGGTTACAGTTAAGTTGTGGTTAGGTTTGGGTTAAGTTAGAGTTAAGTTGTGGCTATGTTAACATTAAGTTGGAGTTAAGTTGGGGTTAAGTTGCAGTTAAGTTAGAGTTAAGTTGTGGTTAAGTTAGAGTTAAGTTGTGGCTATGTTAACATTAAGTTGGGGTTAAGTTGCGGTTATGTTAAAGTTAAGTTGTGGTTAAGTTAGAGTTAAGTTGTGGCTATGTTAACATTAATTTGGGGTTAAGTTAGAATTAAGTTGTGTATGTTAACATTAAGTTGGGGTTAAGTTAGGGTTAAGTTGTTATAATCATTGCTGTTAATAGTGTTCATCGTCTGTTTGATTACGTCATTAACTGATTTTTACCGTACATTTCTGCCATATGTACATTAACTTGACATAGTCACCACTGATAAGCTACTGTACTACTAAAGATATTGTAGAAACTTAATTTCCTGTAAAGCTGCTTTGCAACGATTTGTATCGTGAAAAGCGCTTTACAAATAAACTTGAATTGAATTGAATTAAGTAGCTGTTAGTTAGGGTTAAGTTGGGGTTAAGTGTTTTGCACGCTGCAGTAAAGGACAGTCGGTCAGCGGCTCATAAGAGTTCAGCCTTCACTAACTACCACTTACACTGGATGAGATTCAGCCGGATCTATTTATAACCCAAGAATGCCAGACAGACGCTGCAGTCAGTGCAGGAGATGTTTGACCAGAGTTTAGCTCGGTGTCTTTCTCTGTATTATTACAGGACTCCAGAAATAGCACATTATGGATATTTCTGTCTGTTTAGTGTCTTTCATACACTGGAATATATGTGAACTATGTTATCACACAGTTCTAATTTGATAAATGCAACTATAAGGCATGAAGATATTAGAATATTATAAACATTAACATCATGAGTATTGGGAATGGTGTACTGGGAAAAGTGCCAGTATAATATATTTACCAATCCAGCCAAGTCAAATTTTAGTCGTATTTATCACCAATGAATCCAATTTGTTTCAATCTGATACAGTTTAAAAAAAAAAAGTTTTTTTAATTTGTAAATTACAAAACATCATTGGAGTATGTTTTACAAAAAAAATGCTATCTCAGACTTTCTGTTTCACGTTTAATTCAGTGTTTGCTTGTTTCTTTGTAATTATTTGTGAAAATTTGATAGCAATTTTTGAGTGAAAACTGTTTCTACACACAATGTTTTTCAGTGTTTTAGCTTATTAAATATTTCTAGCCCTATTTTGTTTAACCTTTTTAATTGAATCAATGTAATCATTTTTACAGTGAACAGATTTATGATGATTCTAAGTGATTTGAATAAATGCATTTTGAAAACATTTAAATATATCAAAATATCTTCGAGTGCACTGTAAAAAATGTTTTTTATGTATGTATGTTTTACGAGAAAAAATATTAGTTTTTCTACTTCTAAATTTTAGTTTAAGTCAATGTTATTTGCCATTTCTTTGTAATTGTGAACTTTACTAGCAATTTAACAATTAATAGCAAAGTGAAAATTATTTATCAACTTTATTTATTTATTAAAATAGTGAGTCTTAAATTTAAAATGTATGTATTTGAATTGCTTATAAAATTTCCACCCATTTTGATTACACAGTTTTAACATAAAACAATAAACTTATTTATTGAACTTATTTAATGAAATTAACATGGTAAACTTTAGTTTGTAACAGGTGAAAAACAACAACAGGTGAAAAAAATCCCACAAATACACACTGATTTGCGTGTGTGTATGCGTGCGTGTGTCTGTGTGCGTGTGTGTGTGTGTGCGTGTGTCTGTGTGCGTGTGTGTGAGTGTGTGTATGTGTGTGTGTGTGCGTGCGCGTGAGTGAGTGTGTGCGTGTGGGTGTGAGTGCGTGCGTGCGCCTGTGTGTGTGTGTG